TTTTTTTTTTTTTAAAGTTAATTTTGTTCTTATTAGTCAGAAGTGAGTTGGGCTGGTTGGTTTGGGCCTAACATTTTTTATACATACTTAAAGGTTGTGGACAAGCATTGGACTTTGTCGTTGGGCTTTCCCAGGTTCAAGCCCAGTCCAATGCCAATCAGTTGGACTGCAGGAAAATCCATCAAAAAATTTACCAAATAGCAGTATTGATCGAAAACAAGTTTAGTACTACATATTTTGAAGACGTTTTTTTATTTTTATTTTTTTACCAGTACTTTTTTTTTCTTCTAGATTTTGCTCATAGGCGTAATGAAGTCATCCATTCCTCTGTAACTAGAAGAGTACGAGAAGAAAAATTTAAGTGTCCTTTTCTTTTCATGCTAGTGTTGACGCTAATTTCTAAGTAATCCCCGCTTTTCGGGGCTGTTCCCAGTTTAAACTATGGTAGAGGAGGTGCCATGAAGATTTGAGAGTGTGAGCAGTACAAGATGGAGAGTGTTGAAACCCTGATTATACCGTTAGATAAACAATTTCGTGTTTGAGTTAGTCTCTCTCTTAAAGTACCCCAAGCAATTTAGTATTTTTAAGATTTATTTTGATGTTTAATTTTTTAAAATGGGTACAATGGGCTTCGAGCTAGTTAGTATATGACAAACACTGCTTAAATCATTCTCAAGTAGCCGTTGGATCACAATTTTCTTTAAGATTAAGCCAAGGGTTAACTTGCTCCACCACTATCTTGGATCACAAATGAAGATATGTTTGTCTAGCCCGATAATAAGAGTATATTTGATTGATTTACTTAGTGCTAGAGCCAAGACTTTTGGTTGGGGGGAAGAGTCATTGAAGAGTTTCCAACCGTCGGAGCATTTATCCCCATTGAAAAATTTGTGTACGAAGTTTTCATCTATGTGATGATTATTTGAATTTTAAAGAAAATCATTATCTCTTCTTTAAAAAGAAGATAAACAAACATCTTGTTAACGATGGGATGCATCCTAACTCGATGTGAGATCAATAAAAAACGATGTGTCATAATCATTGTATGATTATGAAAGCTTTTCGTACGTACCTAAAAAAAAAAAGTTAATGAAATTGTGTAAAAAGGAAAAACTATGCAAAATGGATCTAAAGGTTGGAGATTGAAAAGTTCGATTGTAAAGATTGAACAAATGTGCAAATTTTCTAAAGAAAAAATGAAAAAACTAATGATGTGATAAAGAAGATTTGAAACAAGAGTTCAAGGTCACAAGATGGTGCTTTAACCAATGGAAACAACCTCCATCCCTTCGTCTCTGAATTTACTAGTTAATATATATACTTTGTGTTCCGATATCTGATTGAGGCGATTCAAAATGCGTTGGAAAGCTAACTCATCTGGCTACAACTTTGATTCAGACATCATTCTCCAATTCGATCACTTTCTATGCCAAAAATAGGTCTCAATATGAGACTAAAATATCGGAGTAT